TGCAATAAAAATAGATGTGTACAAAATATGCAAGTATTCCAGCCTACATTGCACATTCAGACAATTCAATTAATCATTCAAGCACTTCAGAGTTGGATTGTAATTTATTTAAGCCCCATCCTGATCCCTAGAGCTGAAGACCTCTGCTCATTCTTTTTCAAATATTAAATGCATCATGAGTTTCCTTATTGTGCAATGGAATTGGATGAATCATCCTACAGCATCCATCCACTGCCACACCTAGAAATGAGATCAGGAATGAGATTGTGTCACATTCTCATTCCACAATCTGCCATATATTTAAAATGGTTGTGACAAACTGCCACATGATAAGCATTTGGCCTGTTTATATGTCTTAGGTGAGTGTGATTCTGACATTGTTGGTGCCATTTAACCTGATTGATGGCGATGCCCCGCTTATGGAGATGTTTGCCGTTCATGGCTTCCTGGCAGGGAAGTATATTGTAGCCATGGGTGCTGTCGCAGGACTCACTGTCAGCCTGCTGGGATCTCTGTTCCCCATGCCCAGAGTCATCTATGCCATGGCGGGAGATGGTCTGCTTTTCAGGTACATGTGTATACATCCTTTTCTTTTCTTCATGCTATGCATGAAGCATTTCATTCCAAGTTTTTGCAGTGTTATTTTAGTGAAATACTATTACAGTTTTCGGTAATTTTTTTTATTAGATTTTATTTTACTAGATTGTATTTAGTTTTCACTTTAATTTTAGTTAAAACTTAGTTTTTTAGTTTAGTTTTAGTAATTTTGTTGTATGTTTTTGTAATATTTATTAGCTGTTGTTGTGTTTTTTCTTTTCTTTTAAAAAATAAAATAAAAATAGATATTCACAAAAAATAGATATGCTTTAATCACAAATGTTTGGCCAAATTGTGCAGCCCTACAAAGAAGCACAGCAAACCTGGAAGTTTTAAATTGTAAAAGCATGTTTTCCCCTGAAAAACAATTTTTTGTATTTTAGTAAATTTCTAGTCTTTTTTTGTTGTTGTTGTCGTTTTTTTTTTTTTTTTTAATGTGTATATAGTTTTTTAACATAACATTTTGGCCAAATTATGGAGTCCTACAAACAAATACATCAATCCTAGATTTTTTTAAATCAGATTTTATCAGAAGAATCACAATTATGGTTTTTAGTTAAAATTTTAGTACTTTTGTTGTGTTTTTGACAGTTTTATAATTTTTTTTAATTTTAATTTGTGTATATAGTTTTTAATCACAAAATTTTGGCCAAATTGTGCAGCCCTACAAAGAAGCACAGCAAACCTGGAATTTTTTTAATTACATTGTAAAAGCATTTTTTCCCCCTGAAAAATCAAAAAGTTTTAGTAATTTTGTTGTATTTTTTTTGTCAGTTTTATCATTTTTTTTTAATTAATTAATTAATTTATTTTTTTATGTATATAGTTTTTAATCACAAAATTTTGGCCAAATTGTGCAGCCCTGCAAACAAGCACAGAATACATGGATTTTAAAAAAAATAATTAAATCACATTTTAAATTGCAATCACATTTTTGTTATTTTAATAATTATGTTTTTTTTAGTTACAATTTTAGTAGTTTTGTTGTATATTTTTGTAAAAAAAAAAATTTAAATTTTAAATATGTCTCTATAGTTTTTATTAGATTCTATTTATTAGTTTTAGTTTATTTTTTATTAGTACTTCAAGTTAAATGAAACTGAAGACAAGAAATGTTGTTTTGGCAACTAGCTAAAATAAAATGTTTAAGATTTTTTAAATATTTTATTTCAGTTAATGATTGTTTTATTTCAAGTACAAAAAAATGTTTTTTTTTTTTTTTTTATGGTTTTAGTTTTAGTTACCTATAATAACTCTGGATTGTTGGTGTACACCAGGTTCCTGTCCTTTGTGAGTCCGCACACAGAGACCCCTGTGGTGGCCTGTGCTGTATCAGGCTCTCTGGCTGCTCTGTTGGCTCTCCTGGTGAGTCTGAGGGACCTGATCGAGATGATGTCCATCGGCACGCTGCTGGCCTACACTCTGGTGTCGGTGTGTGTGCTGCTTCTGCGATATCAGCCAGATAGAGACGGCTTCACCAGTTTCCTCACCAAGGAGGAAGAGGAGGAGCGGAAGAGGAAGGAGGAAATGATGGCAGCTAGTGAGAAGGACATGAACTCACCTCGTGGAGAAGAATATGCCGACAACCCCTGTGGAGCCAAGAACCTCCCCTCCAAAGGAGACGACGAAACGCTGATTGAAAAGTCCGATTCTGGGGGCTACCAGTCGGATAGTACCGGCTGCGGCATTGGAGAGAATGGCATTGAGGTGGATGACTCTGCTAGTTTCTTGAAACGCATATTGGGGTCCCATTATTACACTATACGGATGCGTTTGGGCCTGCCGAACTTGGGCGATAGGCCCACTCCTGCCACAGGACGCACTGTTACTTCCTGTGTCCTCCTTTTCTTCATCTTGACCTTCTTTCTCTGGACGCTTGTCATCTATGGCTTCGACCGGGTCTCAGGAGGAGCTCGCTGGGCAATGTTACCTTTTATAATGACTGTAATTGTCCTCATGGTTACTTTGGTTATAATTATTCTCCGGCAGCCAGAGAACCCTAAAAAGCTGCCTTACATGGCACCCTGTGTGCCCTTCGTGCCCACCGCTGCCATGCTGGTGAACATTTACCTCATGCTCAAACTATCCAGCATCACCTGGGTGCGCTTTGTGGTGTGGTGCTCACTAGGTAGGCCAGATCTTCTCCTACATACGCTCCATTTTAGGGTTGTGAGATTAATGAAATTATAACATTGCAAAGGCCGTGATTTCGTTATCAAAAAAGAAAGTGTTGCTTTGGTTCTATGATTTCACATTTGAATAAGAAGAAATTAAATCACAGTTGTGTTTACAATTTTACAGTTGTAATGTGAAATTAAATAATTTTTTCTTTATTTTAAAATGAAATATTACAATAGTAAGATTTCTTTTTTATTATAAATATATTATTTAAATAAAATATTTCATAATATGAAATATTTTGGCATTTAGAAATAATAATAATTATTATTATCATCATTATTATTACTAAATCATAAAATATTATTTATTTTTACAGCAAAATATTACAATAGTTTTATTTTAAAGATATTTATTTTATTTATATTAAATTTATTTATGTATTGTATTATTTGCAATATTATTTACATATATTATTTAATATTATCTAAATAAAAGCAAAATAAGAAAGTTTACTATTGTAATATGTCACTATCAAATAAAATATAGAGTATTATTATTATTATTCAAATTTTTTTTAAGTCATATTGATATATAACAAAATCCCATTTACACCAAGAATGATAACTATAGCAATAACTATATTAGTGTCTACACCAATGGACATTCTGTTAATCGCACGTTGCAGTTTTGTTATCTGCCGCATTAAATGCTCAAGCTCTTTCTGATTTGCTATCAGTATTTTTACTGTTCATCAGCTGGAAATTTTTTTTCAGAAAGTGATTCCAATGATATCTTTCATCGTTAGTGTTATAGTTGTGGTGTGGACTTCCATATTCTCATGTTTAAATAGAATGATTATAAAACTTCATCGTTTATGGTGTGAACAGGCCTTAACTGACCCCATCTCTTTGCCCTACAGGTGTGCTGATCTATTTTAGCTATGGGATGTGGAACAGCTCGCTGGAACTCAGTGCTAGAGAGGAAGCGGCTCACGCCAGCTCCTACCAGAGGTATGACACAGAGGTGGATGACAGCTTCAATATCGATGAAGACCTCCCTCCTCAGGAGGACGAACAAGAGGGACAGTACCAGGGCTGGGCGGCTGAGGAGCGCAGTTATCAGTACCAGAAACACTACCAGTCCCAGCAGCACTATGATGAACAGAGACCGTCCAACAGTCACAATTACAGAAGCAAAGGCAGGACCAATGAAGGCTTTGAGGAGCTGGTCAATGAAGAGTATTCACCTGAGTGAGAAATATACACTAAACTACTGTCGCAGTAGAGGTTGGATTTGGGTGACCTTGATTTTGACAAACAGAATATGTTCCTAGATCAATGCCGCAATACCGTAATAAGTAATGAAGACAAAAGGAAAATGCGTATCATGACAATTTTAATTAAAACATACTGTTGGTAATATATGGTAAAAAAATAACACAATTTATAGACACATTTATAGTAGTAAGGATCTATATAATTAATGTAAATAAAAAAAACTTTGTTAGCAGGTTAATTAACTTACCAGCACATCCTATACATATGAGGTAAGTATAAATAAAATAAAGTCCAAATAAAAATAAAAAGTTTATATATAAATATAACATTATAAAATATATCAAATGTTTTTAATTTTTTTCTCATCAACTGAAATGTTATTTTCTTTTACTAAAATTAGTAGCCATTTTAAAGTAGGGCTATTATTAAAGTCACAATGAAATGGAATCGACATATCTTTTCTTCCATATTATGATGCACATCCGAGTAAAAAAAAAAAAAAGAATGTAAAAATGAAACATATGATACACGGATAAATTGTTCACAATGAGATCATTAAGATGCATTTATAAAACATGAATTTTATTTCATGCTGACTTTAAAATAATTTTTTACAAATTTATATTATATAATTTAATATATTTAAATTATATATATATTATTTAAGTTATATGATAAATTAGTGTGACATGATGACAAAATAAAATAAAAAATATTTTTGTCAAAAACTATGACTAAACAAAATTCATTATTAAAATTAACACTTTTATTTTAATTAAGACCTTGTGGGTAGTTAATGGTTAAGCACTGCAAAAAATGGCTTATCTTACTTAGTATTTTTGTCTTGCTTCTAGTCAAAATATCTTAAAATTCTTAAATCAAGATACTTTTACTAGATAAGCCAAATGACTTAAGACATTTAGTCTTGCTTCCAGGGGAAAAAAACTAAATTAAGTGCATTTTGCTTAAAACAAGTAAAATTATCTGCCATTTGCAGTGAGGTTAGTACTGTGCTCGTTTGACAGGAACAAACATTAATCCAGGAACACATTCTACCAGACAAAATCAGTTACTGATGGATTTTTTTAGGTTTGAAGGTGTTATTAATCATGTCTCACTAGTTATTAAAACATTTTTGAGTGTGTTTCTAAGTGAACTTAAAAAGATTTATTCTTGAACAGGTGCTTGTTAAATGCATTTGCACCTTGTGATAGATGTGACTTATCTAGATGGATGTTTAGCCCAGTTTTTTTATTAAGGCTTCAAAAGTGCCTTTAAATAACCCCTCCTTAATGTTATTCTACTAAAATCAAATATATGCTTAGATTTCTAACAGAATTAGTGTTTCTTTCTGATGTGAGCTGCTGTTTCAGTGTTGGCTTTAATACAAACCGTACTCTTTTTTTTCCATTATTAAGATCCTAAAAGCAATGCCCTTGTCTTCTCCGTATAAAAACTCAGGATGCCTCTTTAAAGCAAAAACCAATGCAAGTTGTCACTACATGAGCAGAAACCCTCTGAAGATGCATTGAGTGGACTTTTCACCTTACATCGTCTCCACAGCTGTGTTTGATCTAAAGTCTCAAGCTCTCCCTTGAATTTCAAGGGAGGAAATATTATGATTGGCTCCCTGTGAAAGCTCAATAGTTCTCAAAATATTTTGCGACATTGATATCAAATTCTTTCTCTGTTGGTTTGTAGAAATGTCGTGCTCTTGTGGTTTCACCCTTGTTTAGGTTTGCATGAGGATATTTATATTTCTTCCTTACAGCTCTGCGCTAAAAATCATTCAAATTCAGAACACACTTATATTCACAGAGATCAAGAGTTACATGTTTGAAAAGAATATACAAATATATTTAAAATGAAATATTAAAATTAATATATTTTACAAGCACAATTGGTGTCTTTTTTGTGTCATCAGCTATAACAATTTTTTTTTGTTATATATTTTGTAGGTTCATGTTTTCATTCAGACACATTCAATTTGTATATTATGAGATGGCGTGATGATTTTGAACAAGTAAAATGCATAACAAAGTAGACGGTATAAGAAGTATTATGTCCTCAAACTCACAAACAGCACATAAAATAATGCATTACCACAATTAATCAATCACCAACCATATGGGACCAGAAAAAAATGACAGGTTTTCCTGTTACACATATTTTTTTCTCAAATTTCAAATGCTGATTTCCTAGGAGGTTGTGTGCAGGAAGCTGTGAGGAGATCTCCAGGAAAACAGTACAGATGGCATCTGGTCATTCAAACACACAGCTTTCCTGTCCATCTATCTATCTGTCTGTCTGGGTGTACATGCTTTCCTAAATGTTGGCATGAGCTAATGAGCTTATATTCACAACTTTTACACAAGATAAAATAAAGTAGCTGGTAAAATAAAACATAGGAGCAAAATGAATACTTTGTAAATACTGTAAAGTCAATGAAAAATGAAATGCCTAGGGAGAAGAGAGCGGTTTCCCTTTGGATTCATTTCAACGTCTGTTCAAACAAAGCCTTTAATGTTCAAACGTCTAAGTTTTAGCACAAAAAAAAAAGAACAGTTTACACTGAATTCTCTGTTCCCGCCAAATCTTCACATGTTTGCAGTCAAACCATGGCAGTAGAAAACAAATTCTTCACGTATTTCATTGGCGCGTGTTCAAATCTTGAGGTAAGGCGCCTGTGGTCTTGTCCAGTGTGTCTTCACTCTCACACATGTGCGGTCTTGGCATGACTGTTTATAGGAGGGCCAGAGTTGGTAACGCCGCTGTGTTTTGAGTAGTAGTAGTGGTTTTCAAGATTTTGACTTGGGTCGTCACCCCTTGAGCAACAAATCATCACCGAGCTGCCAAAAAAACAAAGGGCTGAACCGACCCAGCCAGCATACAAGGAGAATCCGAACGACATCAGGCCGTCCTCGTGAAGCACGCCAATAGGAAACCACACAGTTGACACCATCCCGCACAGAGCTGAAAACAAGAGGAAGGGTGCTATAATGCCATACCATAATCATGGAGAATAGCAAACTGACTTACAAGCAGTCATATTAGCAAAAAAGTCAATAGTCAATGGTGAAGCGATGTATGATAGAAGTCACCTTTAAACCAAGCAGCTTTCTGTGTCAACATGGCGAATTTGAACATGATGTGAAATTTGTGCGTGGCAATCTTTCACCCTCACTCGAATTCCAGAAATTGTAGATTCCCATTTAAATGAATGCATTTCGCCCGTGAAAATTCGCTGAACAACGGTAAATGTGACCACACCTTAAGACTGGGAGTTTTATTTGTGTTGTTTACAGAACAAACCAGCCACCTGTAAAAATGGGTCGGACATGTTGACCATGACTGGCTCTTCCCACTCTAACAGGATGTAGGAAATCTCTGGATGATTTACAGTTACTTCAGTCAAGGACATTTTCAGTCCTGTATGTTGAAAGCTTGACTTTAGAGAGGATATGAGCAACCAGAGGACAGCATCTAGCATTTTGCTTAGAACTGCTAAAATTTAAACAATTTAACAAACTGCTTTATTTTAGGTTCATGAGTAATATATCAAAGGGTCCTTTGCAGGAAATGGTACCATGACTGTTCAAGGAAAGGTACTCAGATGTTATTGGTTAAATGGGTTTTGGTAGATACCAAGTTTACTATGATGGGATTGAATAGTGTAGCACTTAACACTCTTAAAAAGGTTCCAAAAGGGGGTTTTGCCTCGATGCCAAGTAGAACCATTTTTGGTTCCCCAAAGAACCTTTCAGTGAACAGTTCTAAAAGAACCATTTCTTAGTGTGTAGAACATTTGAATAATCTGAAGCATGTTTTACCACTATGAAAATGTTCCATGCATGTTGAAGGTTCTTCATGAAACCATAGAAGATAATAAAGAGCCTTTCTTTTTAATAGTGTTAAGTGCTACTTTAAACTGTTGAATCCACATATTTAGGATTGGGACAGTTCACTTCAAAATTAAAATACACATTAATTGAACATCCTAGTTCTTCTTGGCGCTTACATGAGAGTTTATGAGCGAAGCAGTGATACAAATTGTTCTTGTGAGTCAGATCTTTTCAAATAATTGACTGATCCAATTCATAAATGATTTATTCACAAATTGGATTGATCCAGCTCTCAGAATCACACACTGACTCTATCCCACTGGAGGTGGTATTATAACTACATAATGACTTCAGTAGAATATAATGCACAAAACTACTTTTTTCATCATATAGAATGTAGCCTGATAGCACACAAACATCACGGAGACGTCTGCATTTACATCTGCAAGATGTATTTTTTAGTGTTTGCTCATCTGCAATAAGTCTAAATAAGACCAATTTAGAGTAGACATCACAGTTACGTCACTTGCAGCTGCGCGC